TAGGTAGCAATGATACGGCCGTGGACTAGTTTGGCTTTAATTGAGTAGGAGTGAGTACACAACGGGCAGTGTGAGGGAGCGACCGCAAGCCAGTCCGTGGAGGGGGAGCACTTGTGTCTATCAAGAGGGTCGGCCTAGGAGTGAGAGCCGGTGGGCTCAGCCTCCCACTGACGTGGGTGAGCCTACAGAGGGCAGCACCTAATTATTATTAATATTATAATCAAGGGGGAAGCGCTAAACCCGGAGGATTATACAGTGCCTGGGGGGGGGATGTGGAAGGCATTCAGGCTTAATTCCGGGAACTGGAGCACAGATCCAATTCCCTAAATCAAGAGCCCCTCACCAACATCAAGGAACCTTCCTTGAGGGGCGGGCAGCACCTAAAATGCCGCGAAATATGAACCAAGCTGGCAGACAGCAGGGACTGTCTGCGCAGACAGTACAGGCTGTCTACATTAAAGCTATGTATGGTTCCTGCTTCCACTACATCACTTGCATATGTGTGTGTGTGTACTCACCTAGTTGAGGTTGCAGGGGTCAAGTCCAAGCTCCTGGCCCCGCCTCTTCACTGGTCGCTAATAGGTCACTCTCCCTGAACCGTGAGCTTTATCATACTCTGTGTGGCATGCAAAGAGTACGTAACCTTTATTCGGCGCACGTACACACCCTCATTTACAGGCTATCTCCCCCAACCAGCGAACCAGGTTGCTAAGAGTTGATGATGGGGCCCCGTCGTTCAACTAATGACCAGGTTCTAGCCAATAAGAAGATGGTTTTGGCAATCGCAGAGGTTATGTGGGTACCGCTCTCCTGTCTGCCCTTGTCATTCCCATTCTAGAGCTGGTTGAAGCACGGTCTGCTATCTTGTGGCTTCTATTTCTGCTTTGCTTACCGTGGAGTGCACTATACTTATCACTGTACATAGTGTACATATTGCTGTTATAAATTGGTGAAGGATAATATAAGTCTAAACTTTTTCTACTGTGTTTATTTGCTCCCATTACACCCGGGGTAACAGGCCATTTGAATCCTGGGTTGTAATACTCTGCTTAAAGCTATGTATGGATTCTGCCTCCACTACATCGCTTCCCAAACTATTCCACTTACTGACTACTCTGTGGCTGAAGAAATACTTCCTAACATCCCTGCGATTCATCTGTGTCTTCAACTTCCAATTGTGTCCCCTTGTTGCTGTGTCCCATCTCTGGAACATCCTGTCTTTGTCCACCTTGTCAATTCTTCTCAGTATTTTGTATGTCGTTATCATGTCCCTCCCCCTATCTCTCCTGTCCTCCAGTGTCGTCAGGTCGATTTCCCTTAACCTCTCCTCATAGGACATACCTCTTAGTTCTGGAACTGGTCTTGTCGCAAACTTTTGCACTTTCCCTAGTTTCTTTACGTGCTTGGCTAGGTGTGGGTTGCAAACTGGTGCCGCATACTCCAATATGGGCCTAACGTACACGGTGTACAGGGACCTGAACGATTCCTTATTAAGATGTCGGAATGCTGTTCTGAGGTTTGCTAGGCGCCCATATGCTGCAGCAGTCATTTGGTTGATGCGCGCTTCATGATGTGCCTGGTGTATACTCACCCCAAGATCTTTTTCCTTGAGTGAGGTTTGTAGTCTCTGGCCCCACTAGACTGTACTCCATCTGCGGTCTTCTTTGCCCTTCCCCAATCTTCATGACTTTGCACTTGGTGGGGTTGAACTCCAGGAGCCAATTGCTGGACCAGGTATGCAGACTGTCCAGATCCCTTTGTAGTTCTGCCTGGTCTTCGATCGAATGAATTCTTCTCATCAACTTAACGTCACCTGCAAACAGGGACACTTCGGAGTCTATTCCTTCCATCATGTCGTTCACAAATACCAGAAACAGCACTGGTTCTAGGACTGACCCGTGGCACCCCGCTGGTCACAGGTGCCCACTCTGACACCTCGCCACGTACCATGACTCGCTGCTGTCTTCTTGACAAGTATTCCCTGATCCATTGTAGTGCCTTTCCTGTTATCCCTGCTTGGTCCTCCAGTTTTTGCACTTATTTCTTGTGTGGAACTGTGTCAAATGCCTTCTTGCAGTCAAAGAAAATGCAATCCACCCACCCCTCTCTCTCTTGTCTTACTGCTGTCACCATGTCATAGAACTCCAGTAAGTTTGTGACACAGGATTTCCCATCCCTGAAACCATGTTGGCTGCTGTTGATGAGATCATTCCTTTCTAGGTGTTCCACCACTCTTCTGATAATCTCCATGACTTTGCATACTATACATGTCAGTGACACTGGTCTGTAGTTTAGTGCTTCATGTCTGTCTCCTTTTTTAAAGACTGGGACTACATTTGCTGTCTTCCATGCCTCAGGCAATCTCCCTGTTTCGATAGTTGTATTGAATATTGTTGTTAGGGGTACACATAGCGCCTCTGCTCCCTCTCTCAGGACCCATGAAGAGAAGTTATCCAGCCCCATTGCCTTTGAGGTATCTAGCTCACTCAGAATTATTATTATTATTATAATCAAGGGGGAAGCGCTAAACCCGGAGGATTATACAGCGCCTGGGGGGGGGATGTGGAAGGTATTCAGGCTTAATTCGGGGAACTGGAGCACAGATCCAATTCCCTAAATCAAGAGCCCCTCACCAAGATCAAGGAACCTTCCTTGAGGGGAGCTCACTCAGAAGCCTCTTCACTTCTTCCTTGGTTGTATGTACTGTGTCCAGCACATGGTGGTGTATCCCACCTCTCCGTCTTTCTGGAGCCCCTTCTGTCTCCTCTGTGAACACTTCTTTGAATCTCTTGTTGAGTTCCTCACATGCTTCACGGTCATTTCTTGTTGTCTCTCCTCCTTCTTTCCTTAGCCTGATTACCTGGTCCTTGACTGTTGTTTTCCTCCTGATGTGGCTGTATAACAGTTTCGGGTCAGATTTGGCTTTCGTTGCTATGTCGTTTTCATATTGTCGTTGGGCCTCCCTTCTTATCTGTGCATATTCGTTTCTGGCTCTACGACTGCTCTCCTTATTCTCCTGGGTCCTTTGCCTTCTATATTTCTTCCATTCCCTAGCACACTTGGTTTTTGCTTCCCTGCGTCTTTGGGTGAACCATGGGCTCATCCTGGCTTTTTCATTATTCCTGTTACCCTTGGGTACAAACCTCTCCTCAGCCTCCTTGCACATTGTTGTTACATATTCCATCACCTCATTAACTGGCTTCCCTGCCAGTTCTCTGTCCCACTGAACCCTGTTCAGGAAGTTCTTCATTCCCGTGTAGTCCCCTTTCTTGTAGTTTGGCTTCATTCGTCCTGGCCTTCCTACTTCCCCCTCCATTTGTAGCTCTACTGTGTATTTAAAACTTAAAACCACATGATCGCTGGCCCCAAGGGGTCTTTCATATGTGATGTCCTCAATATCTGCACTACTCAAGGTGAATATTAGGTCCAGTCTTGCTGGTTCATCCTCTTCTCTCTCTCTTGTAGTGTCCCTTACGTGTTGGTACATGAAGTTTTCCAGTACCACCTCCATCATCTTAGCCCTCCATGTATCTTGGCCCCCGTGTGGCTCCAAGTTCTCCCAATCGATTTCCTTGTGATTAAAGTCACCCATGATCAGGAGCTTTGCCCTGCATGCATGAGCTCTTCTGGCCACTGCAGCCAGTATGTCAACCATCGCTCTATTGCTCTCATCATACTCTTGCCTTGGCCTCCTGCTGTTCTGTGGTGGGCTATACATCGCTGCAATTACCACTTTGGGACCTCCAGAGTAAAGTGTTCCCGCTATGTAATCACTTGCTTCTCTGCTGTTTCCTCTCTCCAGCTCATTAAAATTCCATCGGTTTTTGATCAGCAGTGCCACTCCTCCAACCCCCCTGTTCCCTATGTCTTTCCTCAGGATCTGGTATCCCGTTGGAAAGATGGCATTTGTTATCATACCTGTAAGTTTGGTTTCTGTGAGAGCTATGATGTCTGGTGATGCCTCTTTGACTCTTTCGTGCCACTCCCACTTATTTGTTATTCCATCAGCGTTTGTGTACCATACCTTCAGTTTCCTCTCCAACACTTTGGTCTGGGGGGCCTGTGAGGGTGGGAGACCTGGTAGCATACTGTGGGATTCTATAGCTGGGTTTTGGATGGAAGCTGTGAGTATGGATTGTAGTTTGTGTTGGGATGGTGTGATAGGTTGTGGGGTTCTGAGGATGGTTCTGTGTGTGCTTGCCCTTGCTGCTCTGTCCTGCTCTGACTGACCTCTGCTGGTGTGTGTGTGACCTAATTAATGTCTGCATAAATAACTCATTATGACTGTAACCATATAAAAACATGTAAATAGTTCATTGCCCCTGTAACTTGTTCAGATATCAAAACTTTGGGGCCCAGTCCCTGGACCCATTATGTACCTCTGTAAACCATACCCCGGCCGGGATTGAACCCGCGGTCAGAGAGTCTCAAAACTCCAGCCCATCGCGTTAGCCACTAGACCAGCTAGCCTAGTGGTCTAGTGGCTAACGCGACGGGCTGGAGTTTTGAGACTCTCTGACCGCGGGTTCAATCCCGGCCGGGGTATAATTTGTTTGCAATCGTGTCATTACGATTTCGTGAGTCGTACCTCTGTAATCTTTTGACTACCACCCACACCATGGGTATGGTGCCCCTAATAAACATATTTAAAAAACTAGGCTGCTGTAGTGTTCCTTTTTATGGTCTTAAGTGACTTGACAAAATTTCAAAACAGCAGCATCCACAACCTGCCACATAAGATAAAACAAAAAAATTGCAAGTAGCTCATTACCATTGTAACTTGCTTGGCTACCATTACATAGGTGTTCAGTTCCTGGACCCGTTATGGGCCTCTGTAATATTTTGACCACACCCTCAGGTATAAGTGATGCATAATAAAAGTACTAAAGTAACCAGTCAACTCGGCCCAAACTGCTTGTTTACGTCTACTGCTGAGTTTGGCCAATGAATAGTCATTTCAAACACCAACTCAAACTTGTTTATTGAAGGTGTGGAAAAAGGGAAGGAGTCATTTTCATGAAAATTCTTAAATCGCACAAGCGGTTTCATTTTACAAGGGCAGTGTAGTGCCAATTTTGCAATTTTTATTAAAAACAATATTTAAACGGGACACTAGTTTCCATGCGATAATTTGTGAATGTTTCTTCTGATTCGATTCATTTTTTCAAAGCTGACATTTAACGGCATTAGAAATGTATGCCGTGATTTGTACTCTTATTTTTGCTTGAACTGAGGTAGAGAGGCCGAGGTTTGTGGGACATGCAACCATACCATTTATTTTTATGAACAAGTTTGGATTCACCTGAAGTTTGCGGCTTCTCATTTCTATCTGACAGTTATCGCAACATACGCAGTGAATATCTAGCCTATTTCATGTGATAGTTACGTTGTGCGAACATCCGCAGTGTGCGACTATCCAATTCTGCGTGATATTGACATTGCGGGACAAAAACTTAGTTATGTTTCCAGTCAAATTCCTTCATATAGGATGAGTTACATGCATATGATAATGAAATCTGTCAGGATAGGCTGGGAGATTTCAATAGGGTAATGAGAATATCACCAATTACCCATTATGAGTTCATTAGCTATAAATGCTAAATCTGTTTCGTTCCAGCAGAGCTGGCGTTGCTGTTACTGAAGGCTATGCCCCAGTAGCACATATTGAACACCACGAAGATGATGGGAAGTAGCACCCTGCTCTTCACCATCAGGGACATGTTGACACCGTTCTGAGTGTCCGCAGTAAACCAAGATCCAAATATAGAGCGCTGCTGTCGTTCCCTATGACCTAGGCTGTTCTCCGCGTCTGTTTTGCGTCTGTCTTCCACCTGGCTGTCTCGCTGACGCAAGCTTGGGCGTTCGAAACGGGTGGTCTCCCTCTTATGGAAATAGGGGCGAGTTTGCGGGATGCCGGAAGAGTCGTTTTTGGTGTAGCTAAGGACGGTGTCACTCTCCTGGTCGTATGTTGTCGTCTGGTCGTTGTGGTCCCGTCTGAGGGATGTCACCTCCTCCCCTCCTTCAGGTCTTGTGGCGACCGTGGTTGATACTTGTAGTGGCCTCGTAGACCCGTACATCAATTTGCTCTGCAAGATTCAACCTTATTAGTTTTCCACACCATACATTACCGATGGCGACTCACTTTATTTTCGTTGTAACACCAACACACACACACACACACACACACACACACACACACACACACACACACACACACACACACACACACACAACACTACCACACACACACACCACACACACACACACACACACACCGGTGGCCCGGTGGCCTGGTGGCTAAAGCTCCCGCTTCACACACGGAGGGCCCGGGTTCGATTCCCGGCGGGTGGAAACATTCGACACGTTTCCTTACACCTGTTGTCCTGTTCACCTAGCAGCAAATAGGTACCTGGGTGTTAGTCGACTGGTGTGGGTCGCATCCTGGGGGACAAGATTAAGGACCCCAATGGAAATAAGTTAGACAGTCCTCGATGACGCACTGACTTTCTTGGGTTATCCTGGGTGGCTAACCCTCCGGGGTTAAAAATCCGAACGAAATCTTATCTTATCTTCACACACACACACACGCGCACGCACTTTACAACATTCACAAAGACTCACTGCAAGCCTGGTGAGCCATGGATGGTGTGTGACATGTGTGCGAGGTGTGGCAGCAGGTTTGGAGAAGTTGACAAGGGTCTGCAGTAAGATGACCAAGAAGATGATGACGATGGAAAAGAAGAGCCAGACATCGATCAGCTTGAAGTAAGACGTCTTGGGCAGGGCGTTCGACGTCTGTGAAAACGTCTTAAAAATGCAATAAGAAAGCATTTCAGAGCACTAGCTAAAAAAAATACAAAGAAAATATTACTTTTCTTGTATTTTTCAGTGTCTATCCACAAATCTACCAATTCTCTCATCCTGTCTATCCACAAGCCTACCAGTTCTCTCTTCCCGTCCATCAACAATCCTACCTCTTTTCTTTTCCCGTCTATCCACAAGCCTACGAATCTTCTCTTCCCGTCTATCCACTAGGCTACCATTTTTTTCCTTTCAAGAAGGAAATCGAAGGTATACGATACATTAGACTATATATATTATATTTTAATGAGCCTTAAAGCCGTCATTCAGCGTGACCAGTGGTTGAGGCTCGATCCTCCGTCTCTACCCACTCTGTCTTTTGCTTACTGTCTAAGATAAATTAGAAGGATATTGAAGCCATTCTACGTAATAGTTCCCTTAAGGGGATGGCTCCTTGATGGTGAGGAGGGCTCTAGATCCAGGGAATTGGATCCAGCCCCTTTTACCCCCACACCGGGTTTAGTGATTTCCTTCGACTGTAGCAATAAAACATAACAAAAAAGAATGCAACAGCAAAAATGTCAAACAACAACAACAGTGTCTATAAAGAATAGAAAAAAAACACATGACCCTTACTGGAACAATACACAAATAACCCTAGAATAGGAAACTGAAACCTATTACGACGTTTCGGTCCGATTTGGAGCATTAATTAGCCACACATAAGCTCGAAGGGAAGTGAGCCAGAATATATATGAGAGGGAACTAGGGGACAGGAGTGACTGAACGGGAGGAGGGAGTAGTAGTAGTAGTAGTAAAAGTTGTGCAACAGTGACAGAGGTGACATTAGAAAGGTAGTAGTGGTAGTGAGAAACAAAAGGGGGCAGAGAGTGGAGTGTTAGCAAAGAAATAGTAGAACAGTTTCAAAAGTAGACCGATGTTAGGACTTTGATGTCGTAACTTAAATAAAATGTTCCTGGCTCGTAATGGCTGCTCACACTGCTGTCTAGGGCTTATAAAATTACACTGGAAAACACAGCGAACCTTGGGCCAGCATGTACTCATATATATTAAACTATATTAATTAATTATTAGGAAGGAAGAACAAAAACTCACCTATATAAAAATTTATCTATATTAATAGTAACTTATATACAACTTACAATCTACAAAAAAAGCACCACACTCCAGTTCACATTAGCTCACTAGCACACTGCTATTAATGAATTAAGCAAAATAAATGAACATTTATGAACAATGAACATTTATGAACAATGAACATTTATGAACAAGGAGGCTCCATGACACCCCCCCCCTTTCTACAGGCTACATAGCCTACAGTGGAAACGTTAAATACTCTCCAAAACACAGGCCCCTGCATACTAGGACTTGACAAATAAACATGAGATTATTATTATAATCAAGGGGGAAGCACTAAACCCGTAGGATTATACAGCGCCTATGGGGGGATGGAAGGCATTCAGGCTTAATTCAGGGAACTGGAGCACAGATCCAACTGGAGCACAGATCCAATTCCCTAGATCAAGAGCCCCTCACCAGCGTCAAGGAGCCTTCCTTGAGGGGAATAAACATGAGAGAACTGAATTAAATAACACCTCTCGTCTGCTCCTGTCCTGGCCACTGTCTGACTGACAGGAATAAAACGCGTTCACTTTCAGGGAATAATACACGTCCACTTTCAGTATACTACACAGAAAATGACCTTATATATGGAGCGTTATTTTATATATAAATTTTTTAATACAATACTCCGTAATAATCGAATCTACCACAGGTTAAGACGCCGTAACTATCAACCTCAGATCCGAGATCCTCAGTGTTCATCAAGATGCAGTTCCTGACGAATCAATCAGTTAATATCATGATTCTCTGTGTGACTGGCTAATGGTTAAAGTCGGACCGAAACGTCGTCATAAGTTTGTTTCCTGTGTGTGGTTATTTATGCAGTGTATATGAAGGTAGAGAAAAGTAAATAAGACAAAATGTGTAAAGCATACGGAGAAAACACTCCAGTGGTATACCTGTGTGAAGAGGGAGGTGAGCACCAGGAGGGAGGTGATGGCCACTGTGATACGGGAGTTGAAGTCATCAGGGTTGAAGAAGAAGGTGGCGTAGGCGATGAAGATGAGAAGGGTGGTGGGGATGTAGAGGGTGAGTAGGTAGAAGTTGTAGCGACGGATGAATTTCACCTCCACTTGCATGCTGGAGAACTCCTGCTCTCCCTTGTGTGTCCTCTCCATGTTCACCTCTCCTGTGGTAGGTTCATCACGCTCAGTTAGTTTGTCATGTCTGCGTCTGCTGCATGTTCACCTCTCCTGTGGTAGGTTCATCACGCTCAGTTAGTTTGTCATGTCTGCGTCTGCTGCATGTTCACCTCTCCTGTGGTAGGTTCATCACGCTCAGTTAGTTTGTCATGTCTGCGTCTGCTGCATGTTCGCCTCTCCTGTGGTAGGTTCATCACACTCAGTTTGTTATGTCTGTGTCTGCTGCATGTTCATCTCTCCTGTGGTAGGTTTTCCACTTTCAGTATGTTAATTAGTCAGGTCTAATGCCTTGGCAAAGAGACAGAGATCCAGTTATAATGGAATCCTTTATCAAGAAAGTTACAAGTATATACAGCTGCTAGTAAGTATGTCGCCCCCGTACATATATCTAAAGTGTCGGCAGAAAACATCACCCATACCCTGTTTAAAAAAAAAAAAAGAAAAGAACTTTGAAGGTTAAAAAGTATCAGAAACGTTACTTAACTTTACTTTTAACACACTACCCCCAAAAATACTAAGTTTATTAAACAGGAAATGAAGTAAGCTGTCAGTACATCCATGCGGACAGACATACGAGGAGGAGTGGTCGTTTGCTGACACTTATAAAAATAAGACGAGTGTTAGAGAGATCCTGGAGGAGGGATACACACACATAGGTGTTAGGCTAGGTAGGATTCTTCAAAAAACAGGACATTTGTTTCCCGACACGGGTTTCAGTCATACGACAACCCTCCACCGGACTTTTTGGTCATCTGGCAGAGGCCTTCCACTGGTTGATCCCTCCACCTCTTTCAAAAATTGATATCTATCTAGAAGGTAGTTACCAAGAGACTTGTTTCTACCAGCATGTATATTCTGAGCTTATTGTAATTTCCATTATAGGGCGCAAAGTATTCTTGTCAGGTGGTGAAAAGGTTACCACGCAGTCTTAATGACCTTAGTGTAGTTGATAGGCTTTAAACCATATTAAATTTATTATTATTATTATTATTATTATTATTATTATTTATTATTATTTATGATAATCAAAAAGAAGCGCTAAGCCACAAGGGCTGTACAGCGCTTTTAAACCCTATTAAAGAGCCAACCAAATCTGAATCTCTGGGGATACCTAATAAGAAAGATGAGGGTAGACAGACCCAAATCTCTGGGGATACCTAATGAGAAAGGTGAGGGATACAGAGACCTGAGTCTTTGGGGAAACCTAATTACTTATAAAATTCTTTCACTCATCTCAGTGTAGCATAGAAAAGGTGTAGCACAGAGCAGGTGTAGCATAGGGCAAGTATAGCAAAGAGCAGGTGTAGCATAGAACAAGTGTAGAATAAAGCAGGTATAACATAGAGAAGGTGTACCACAGAACTGGTGTAGCATAGAGTAGGTGTATCACAGAACAGGTGTAGCATAGAGCAAGTGCATCATAGAGCAAGTGTAGCATAGAGCAAATGTAGCATAGAGCAGATGTAGCATAGAAGAGGTGTAGCATAGAGCAGGTGTAGCATAGAATAAGTGTAGCATAGAGCAGGTTTAGCATAGAGCACGTGTAGTAGTTAGCAAGTGTAGCAAGGAACAGGTGTAGAATATAAGAGGTGTAGCATGCAGCAGGTGTAGTATAGAACAGGTGTAGCATAATACAGGAGTAGCATAGAAAATGTGTAGCATAAAGCAGATATGGCACAGAACAGGTATAGCATAGAGCAAGGGTAGCATAAAACAGGTGTAGCATAGAGCAGATATGGCACAGAACAGGTGTAGCATAACAGGTGTAGCATACAGCAGGCGTAGCATAGAGGTGTAGCATAGAGTAGATACAGCATAGAACAAGTGTAGCATAAAGCAGATGAAGTATCGAGCAGATGTAACATAGAAAAGGTGTCGCATAGAGCAGGTGTAGCATAGAAACAGGTGTAGCATAGAGTAAGAAGGTGTCGCATAAGTAAGTAAGCATGGTAACAGTACAACAATGAGTAAAATGACACCTATTCGTACTCAATGAGATAACATGGGAGCATAGGTGGCAGAGTGGGTGTGCATAAATGTACAGTGTCAGCCATAATGAGAACTCACCAACGATACTCAGCGGACCGACGGCGGAGGCAAGCTGGGTTCACACTATGTTAGCCGAGCAACCTGAGCGGAACTCCAGAGACCATGGGGCAGATCATAATAGGTCTGCCGGTACTGGGGGCTACTAATGGGGTTCACGGTGGGCCGAGCAGTTTATTGTAGTTCGGAGACTCAGAAATTACCTGGTCAAATTCTAGGACTGACTCTGTTATTATTATTATTAATATTATTTATATTTATAATTTTTTATTAACACATAGGCCTTCTCCCACCAAGGCAGGGTGGCCAGAAAAAGAAAAGCTTTCATCATCATTCACTCCATCATTGTCTTGCCAAAGGCGTGCTTACACTCTAGTTATAAAACTGCAACATTAACACCCCTCCTTCAGAGTGCAGGCACTGTACTTCCCATCTCCAGGACTCAAGTCCGACCTGCCGGTTTCCCTGAAGCCTTTCATAAATGTTACCTTGCTCACACTCCAACAGCACGTTAAGTCCTAAAAACCCATTTATCTCCTTCACTCCTATCTAACACGCTCACGCATGCTTGCTGAAAGACCCAGCACCTCGCACACAAAATCTCATTTACTCCCTCCCTCCAACCTTTCCAAGGTCGACCTCTACCCCGCCTTCCCTCCACTACAGATTTATACACTCCCGAAGTCATTCTATTTTGTTCCATTTTCTCTACATGTCTGAACCACCTCAACATCCCGTCCTCAGCCCTCTGGGTAATAGCTTTGGTAATCTCGCACTTCCTCCTAATTTCCAAATTATGAATTCTTTGTACTATATTTACACCACACATTTCCCTCAGACACGACATCTCCACTGCCTCCAGCCTTCTCCTTGTTGCAACATTCGCCTGTCACTCATGCTTCACACTCATATAAGAGAGTTAGTATAACTATATTCTCATACATTCCCGTCTTTGCTTTCATGGACAAAGTTCTTTGTCTCCACAAACTCCTAAGTGCACCACTCATCTTTTTTCCCCTTATCAGTTCTATGATTCACCTCATTTTTCAAAGGCCTCTCTGCTGACACGTCCACTCCTAAATATCTGAATACATTCACCTCCTCCATACTCTCTCCCTCCAATCTTATATCCAATCTTTCGCCACCTAATTTTTTGTTATTATTCTCATCACCTTACTCTTTCCTATATTCACTTTTAATTTTCTTCTTTTACATACCCTACCAATCTCATCCAGCAACCTCTGTCAACTTCTCTTCAGAATCTCCCAAAAGCACCGTTCATCAGCAAAGAGCGACTGTGACAGCTCCCACTTTTTGTTAGATTCTTTATCTTTTAACCCCAAACCTCTTGCCAATACCCGAGCATTCACTTCTCTTACAACCCCATGTATTATATTGAACAACCATGGTGACATCACACATCCTTGTCTAAGGCCTACTTTTATTTGGAAATAATCCTCCTCTTTCCTACATGCTCTAACCTGAGCCTCACTATCCTCGTAAAAACTCTTCACTGCTTTCAGTAACCTACCTCCCATTCCATACATTTGCAACATCTGCAAAGTATGGAATGGGAGGTATCCACCCTGTCATACGCCTTTTCCAAATTTATAAATGCCACAAAAACCTCTTTACCCTTATCTAAATGCTGTTCACCTATTGTTTCACTGTAAACACTTGATCTACACACCCCTACCTTTCCTAAAGCCTCCTTGTTCATCTGCTATCCTACTCTCCGTCTTACTCTTAATTCTTTCAATAATAACTCTACCATACACTTTACCAGGTATACTCAACAGACTTATTCCCCTATAATTTTTGCACTCTTTTGTCCCCTTTTCCTTTATACAAAGGAACTTTGCATGCTCTCTGCCAATCCCTAGGTACCTTACCCTCTTCCATACATTTATTAAATAAAAGCACCAACCTCTCCGAAAACTATATTCCCACCTGCTTTTAACATTTCTATCTTTATCCCATCAATCCCAGCTGCTTTACCCCCTTTCATTCTACCCACTGCCTCACGAACTTCCCCCACACTCACAACTGGCTCTTCCTCACTCCTACAAGATGTTATTCCTCCTTGTCCTATACACGAAATCACAGCTTCCCTATCTTCATCAGCATTTAACAATTCCTCAAAATATTCCCTCCATCTTCCCGATACCTCAAACTCTCCATTTATTATTATTAATTATTATTATTATTGTTATCATTATTTATTATTATTATTATTATATTCATCAGGAAGTGCAAGACCTGTAGGATTTATTGAGTTCCAGGAGAATGGGAAGTAATAAGATTTGATCCAGGAAGAGGGAAGGATAACTTATATTTCTTGAACCAAGAGCTTTTTATCTGCATCAAGAGTGTGAATAAGAAGATGGGAGCGGAGGATCGAGCCTTCAACCCTCCCCTTCCCTCCTTGCGTCTTAATGACCCATACGGACTTAACGCTTCACAGTAAACAATAATGCTGATGTACTAACCTGAGAATCGAACGGGAATCGTATTAAGTCGAAATCGCAACTGTAAGAGGAGGTGTACAGTTGCCTCATCTCCAGGCTGTTCTCGTGCCCCGAGAACACGTTCACTGCCCAGGAAGAACAAAGATAGAACAACAGTCAGTTAAATTACTAGCTTTAATGTCTACTGGTTTCACGTGGGATATAAACACCGCAGTTCACCTGTACACTAGCACTGAACTGGAGACTAAAGTGAATTTTCGGTATATACACACTGAGAGAGACATACTTCTCGGTCTAGAAAACCTGAGATATACTTTTCAGTGTATATAAGTCGAGAGACATGCCGTTTGGTGTAAAGTATATTATATTCACTGACTGAGCCATCCTCTGGGTGTAAACAAAACGAGAGAGAGGAGAGAGAGAGAGAAAAGAGAGAGAGAAAGGGGAGAGAGAGAGAGAGAGAGGGGAGAGAGAGAGAGAGAGAGGAGAGAGAGAGAGAGAGAGAGAGAGAGAGAGAGGAGAGAGAGAGAGAGAGAGGAGAGAGAGAGAGGAGAGAGAGATTTTTAAGCACAAGAAGAGATCAGATTTTAAGAGTTGGTAATCATCCACTACCTCACTGGCAACTACCTGAACACACTGTTCCTAGCTCCGACTAACCCAACTGAAGTCTCCCTTATTATCAACAAACTAAAAAAACAAGACAGGAGATTTAAATACCTTACCACCCATTATATACAAAAAAGTGTCACAGGTGCTATCACCAATCATTGCAACACTCTTTAACAAATCCATTGAATCCTCTACCTTTCCTACAGTTCTCAAAATAGCAAGGGTCACCCCGATCCATAAAGGAGGAGATCAAACAGACTCGAATAACTATAGGCCAATATCCAACTTACACCCTCTCTCTAAAATCTTTGAAAAAATTAATCCATAAGCGTATCTATTCTACCTCATCTCCCAAAACATACTAAACCCCCTGTCAATTTGGGTTAGGGCCTAATAAAAATACTAATGATGCTTTATCCACATGCTAGAACATATTTATACAGCAATAGAGAAAAAAGAAGTCCCACTGGGGATCTTCATTGACTTACGTAAAGCTTTCGATACAGTTGACCACGACTTCCTCCACATAAAATTGTCACACTATGGTATAAGAGGGCACTCCCTCAACTACCTAAAGTCATACCTCAGCAACAGAAGCCAATATGTGTACACAAATGGGGCAAATTCTTCCGCACAGCCAATTACAGTTGGTGTCCCACAGGGAAGTGTCCTAGGCCCTCATCTCTTTCTCATATACTTAAATGACCTACCAAATGCATGGCAATTACTCAAACCCACACTATTTGCAGATGACACTACATACGTCTACTCTCACCCGAGCCCGGTCATGCTAGCCAATACTGTAAATACCGAATTACAGAAAATATCAACCTGGATGAGGAACAACAAACTTACTCTAAACATTGACAAAACCTACTACATTCAGTTTGGTAACAGAGCTGCAGATGTGTCTCTTAACATAATGATAAATGGATCACCTATCACAAAACTCACAGAGGGAAAATTCTTAGGAATCCACCTTGATAATAGACTCATATTTCAAACACATATACAACAAATTTCCAAAAAAATTTCCAAGACCGTAGGCATACTATCGAAGATACGGTACTATGTTCCACAGTCAGCCCTCCTGGCCCTATATCACTCACTTATTTACCCCTATCTCACCTATGGAATTTGTGCATGGGGCTCAACAACAATAAACCATCTCAGACCACTAATCACCCAACAGAAGGCTACAGTCAGAATGATAACAAATTCCCCCTACATACAGTACACTCCACCAATATTCAAAACTCTAAACCTACTCACAATACAAAACATCCATACTTATTACTGCACCTACTACATACATAGAACACTTAACTGACATAAACCCTCCCCTCAAACATCTCCTTACCAACCTCAACAGAACACATGACCATAACACAAGGCACAGATCACTCTTTGATGTTCCTCGTGTCCATCGCACGCTATGCAAAAACTCAATGCACATAAAAGGCCCTAAAATCTGGAATTCATTACCTGTGAATACAAAAGAAATACTGTCTGTTTATAAATTCAAGTCTCTTCTCAAAAATCACTTACTCACCCACAACTAAATAAATACTGAATAATTGCATGTCATAAATTGTATCTCATATATGTATCTCATTATTGTATCTCATAAATGTCAACCTGAGACCCAATCAAACTTTGTTGCTATTTAACTTAATTACCTAACAGATTACTCCATTCTACAGATTACACAGCAACACAGTAAATGACCATATGACCTGTCTTTGTAATACTCATTTGTACTAAATTGTTATCTGTTTTACAATAATTTTTGTACCACTGAATATATCATTGCTTAGTTAATCTTAAGTTAATTTTAAGCCTGCCCATAATGCTCTGCATACAAGGGGCTTTGGCATGCTGCACTTTAAAAATTGTATTCCTTGTACTTCTCTGTATCATGTTCAAATAAATAAATAAATAAATAAATAAATAAATAAATCTATCTTACCTTCGTCAGGCAGGTGTCGAGGTCCTGGCCGAGAGGGACCCTCGCGAACACACTCAACCCGAGACCCCAGTTCGTGGTTTGTAAACACGTTTCCCTGGGCGTTGCTGAAGAACACAAGGGGCGTCCAGATATCCTGAACGGACTCCCTCGACAGGAGGTTCAGAGTTCTATCCTTCTTCAGGTTATGGAAGTTGAGACGGATGTCCTTCCAGCGGAGACATAGAAGGAATGTGACAGTAAAAACCAAGTCTTGGGTTGCAATTTTAGGGAAAGCGATGATTTTGATACTGAAAGAGACTTCGAGTGACTGGGACCCGTTCACTGGCGGAGGTGGGATGACGGTGCGGTACCCAAGAGGAATATCCAGTAAGGAGCACTCTGCTTCGTCGCTTTCATCTTTACAGTCAATGCGCAGGTCGCAGCGCTTCGTTAGGTCAATGCAGGAGCCGTCGACACAGGTAAACTGCCCCTCGCGGCAGGCAGAGAGTGTCAGGTTTACCACAGTGCCAGGACTCAAGCCACACACGTCCACACCCAGCGTCCAGGGCCGCGTCCCGAATGGGTACATGCCCTCACGCCCTGGAGTCCACCACGCTTTTGCCTCACGATCCTCAGGAGGGAAATATTGACTTATTGCTTATAGATCTAACACTGAAAAATTCTACTTAGCTAGATTCGCTATCGAGTTGTACTGATTAATTTCCGCAAAATACTACAAATCTTTTCTGCAATAATATAGTGATAATGTTGAAACATATAATAATAATAATACTTTTATTGTTATTGGTAGAGTTGTAATTGTTATTTTTACAATTTACAGCTAATACACAAATTAGGAATTAAACCTAAGCAATAATCCAGGAAAAACCGAAAGGAAGTCAGCTTCTTATTTTAAATTTTTGGGTTTCTTGTGAATATTCATAATTTTTCTCTATGCAAATGGAGGATCGAACCTTCAGCCTTCCTTGTGCTGAAGGGTATAACACTTCACAAACTTATTATTATTGTTATAACTATTATGAATATTCATATCTGTTAGGGAGTAAATGACCTTCTCGAGGAGACAGAGCTTTTAATAACTAACAATATATTAGGAGGTACTGTAGGTACTGCACGGATAATGCGTTGATTCAAATACATATACCTTGAGAGACTGGAGATACCAAGTGTTGTTCTCCCAGAAGATGTCTGAGTGGTAGAAGCCTGTGAGAGAGGGGCGGCCGTCGCCAAGTTGACCGCCTAGCAGGTACTGATAGTTGAAAGGTGAGGTATTACATAGGGCGGGGCCTTTCAGGTACATAGTCTCCAGCTGCGTGAACTCACAGGGCGCACAGAAGGAGTAAGACTCGAGACATGCGATGTCGGACCAGAGTGCTGGGAAGTCGCCGTAGAGCATCACCAGACAGTTCTCCTGTGTGCCTCCGTTGGGTCCGCCGCCCCTCCAGGGTCCCTCCCACTTGATGGGCAGGCCCGTGCCCAGGTAAGTCCAGAGGCGCTCCTGGGCAGCATCAGCAGCGCCCAGCCACAGGTATGAGGCACCCTCGCCCCCAGAACAGCGAGCAGCCACCTTCTGTGTGCTTTCGTACACCCACGAGTTCTCCTGCTGATTGGCTGGTACTAGCACCTGCCCACCCACCACCTACACCAGGAATAACATTATAATGCACACCTATAACAGCTATGAAACTAAATCAGTAGGTTAACACCAGTAGGTTCTGGTTGCTCAGAACCTACTAGTGTTAACAATTTAATATATTCTGACCACATGGCAGTGCTTCTCCTATGTGCCACTACTTTGTACCAGCTGAGTAACTGTACAACAGCTGACTGGCAGATTTCAATTTTGACAGATGAACATGACAAACAAAAATCACGAAAAACATTCATCCGACCTAAGAGCTCTAGATTATTATATTTCCGTATACCATTAATATAATGATACTTGCATGACACGGAATCTTGGTACAGAGCATAACTTATACACCTATAACTCATGCCCAACTTACTGGCAAATCCTATTTCCAATGATGGGCCCCTCCCACTTGGGACACCGTTCCTAACTGCTTCGCCTCACCTCTGGCTCAGTATGTCTCCACTGTCTTGTCTTTGCTTATGGCTAAGGGACTGAGCAATTTCGATCGAGGCCAAGGGACTAAGCACTTATCGAGGCTAAGGGACTAAGCACCTTAAAATTTCCTCTCTGCTTTTATACTGTCTCTAGCATAAAAGTCACCTCTGTATTCGACTGAAAAAAAAAAAAGCCTGCTGCACAGGCGATCTTATTCGTCTTCTCTACAGTTCAGCCACATAATATCTGTTAAACCTAATGAATAATATATAGTCTCATTTCCCCCCCCCCACACTTTATCCGTGTTACATCACCAACAACGACAGAAGAGAAGCTATTGATTTAAATAACTCAGAACACCGTGTCATGTGTTCTGAGTAAAAAGAAAATGTCCTTTGACATTACGAGCCACAAATGGTAGCTTTAAGGAGAGGCCATTGGCATTTACTGTATTGTAATGAACTGTGGACAAACGGCGTGTCGTCTTGGAACCAAGTCACTGTAACATTCACGTCGTTGTTAAAGGCTTCAAGAATGACGAGCTAGTCGATGATTTCCATCAATAACACTGAAGATTTAGATGCAACAAGGAGTCATTCGATGCATAGTTTATTTAATGGAGACAATGAATTCAGCCGACGTAATGTTTGACTAACGTCAAAAACTGACACGTTTCAGAACAAGCTTTTGTTGGGATAACGTTCCGCTCTGCATAGAGCGTTATCAAGTCATGACTTGAAAAAGCTTTACCAGATAAAACTTTCTGCAACGTGTATGTGAATATTTAGGAACATGAGAGGAGTAATCAATAGGTTGCGTAATGGGGTTCTAAGCTTATAGACTATATATATATACGAAGGTCATTAAGTTTGCACGTAATCTGTCCACCACCTGACAAGAATAATTTAATCCCTAAAATAAAGATTAAAGTAAACTCTCAGCAAATATATACTGGGAGATATACACCTCTCGGTGCATATCTATTGGTTAGTTGCTTAATGGGACCTAAAATCTATCGATTACCCCATCGATTACACCATCAGTGTAATCCGTGTTGACAGCGAGAACATCCCTGCTCCAAGTACCGAAACTGGTGCTGATACCGGAGGCTTTGGTAAGTCTAGAGCCAATAGGGATGCAGTTTCTGATTCAGGTCCAGTCACAGGTACCTGTGACGATAGTGAGGGCGACCCTAATGGTTCTAGGGTGGATGTGGATGCTCTAAACATGCAAATTATAACCATACAATCCACAGGATTTTTCTAGTACCAGGAAGCTGAAAAGAATAGCGAGAGAGGTTGAGAATGCATTAATAATAATAATAATCTTTATCTCCACAAGTACGTGATACAACTTATACAAACGAAGCTTACATCAGTGATACTCTATATTGAAAGTCCCTTGTTAGGATCCATGCTGGACTGGAATCAAAGCCAGTGGCTGGCTCATCACAGCCACAGATATTAAATCCAATCGTCAACCCTACCGCCATAACCACCAGCAATGTATCGTTGTCTGTGTTTGCAAATGTGCAAGGACTCAAACTAAGGAAAAACAATGAAGTACCATTTCTTAGTGGTCTTCTCGGAGAGTCTCACATAAAAGAGTATTTTGATAATGGAATGTGTGGCTTCCAGGGTATGACCTGATAAATTAGACACAAGTGAAACATCTGGGTATCTTTACTACGTAGACGTTTCGCCAACCAGTGGCTTTATCAGTACAATCAGATTGGATTGGAGAGGTAGAAGATGAGATAATCAGTCTTTCAACCTAGAAGTAGGTGCTCAGTACTGGAGTACTGATGAATCTGAAGAACTGGCAGGAAGAAGTGGGTTTAAATACTGGGGTCTGATGATAGGAAGGCATTGTCACTGGTAGATGAGATTCTCCAGTGGAAGTAGGTCGTGCCCAAGAGTAGGGCTAGGGGTTATATACATACACACACAGTTCCACACAAGAGATAAGTGCAAAAACTGGAGGACCAGGCAGGGATAACAGGAAAGGCACTACAGGCCCAGTGGCCTGGTGGCTAAAGCTCCCGCTTCACACACGGAGGGCCCGGGTTCGATTCCCGGCGGGTGGAAACATTCGACACGTTTCCTTACACCTGTTGTCCTGTTCACCTAGCAGCAAATAGGTACCTGGGTGTTAGTCGACTGGTGTGGGTCGCATCCTGGGGGACAAGATTAAGGACCCCAATGGAAATAAGTTAGACAGTCCTCGATGACGCACTGACTTTCTTGGGTTATCCTGGGTGGCTAACCCTCCGGGGTTAAAAATCCGAACGAAATCTTATCTTATCTTAATACTTGTCAGGAAGATAGCAGCGAGTCATGGTACGTAGCGAGGTGTCAGAGTGGGCACCTGTGACCAGCGGGGTCCCACAGGGGTCAGTCCTAGGACCAGTGCTGTTTTTGGTATTTGTGAACGACATGACGGAAGGAATAGACTCCGAGGTGTCCCTGTTTGCAGATGACGTGAAGTTGATGAGAAGAATTCATTCGGACGAAGACCAGGCAGAACTACAAAGGGCTCTGGACAGGCTGCAGACCTAGTCCAGCAATTGGCTCCTGGAGTTCAACCCCACCAAGTGCAAAGCCATGAAGATTGGGGAAGGGCAAAGAAGACCGCAGACGGAGTACAGTCTAGGGGGCCAGAGACTACAAACCTCACTCAAGGAAAAAGATCTTAGGGTGAGTATAACACCAGCCACAGCTCCTGAGGCACACATCAACCAAACAACTGCTGCAGCATATGGGCGCCTAGCAAACCTAAGAATGGCATTCCGACATCTTAATAAGGAATCGTTCAGAACCCTGTACACCGCGTACGTTAGGCCCGTATTGGAGTATGCGACACCAGTTTGGAACCAACACCTAGCCAAGCACGTAAGGAAACTAGAGAAAGTTCAAAGGTTTGCAACAAGACTAGTCCCAGGGCTAAGGGGTATGTCCTACGAGAAGAAGTTAAGGAAAATCGACCTGACGACACTGGAGGACAGGAGAGATAGGGGGGACATGATAACGACATATAAAATACTGAGAGGAATTGACAGGGTGGAAAAAGACAGGAAATTCCAGATGGGACACAGCAACAAGGGGACACAGTTGGAAGTTGAAGACACAGATGAATCACAGGGATGTTAGGAAGTATTTCTTCAGTCACAGAGTAGTCAGGAAGTGGAACAGCTTGAGAAGCGATGTAGTGAAGGCAGGATTCATACATAGCTTTAGGCAGAGGTATGATAAAGCTCATGGTTCAGGGAGAGTGACCACTAGCGACCAGTGAAGAGGCGGGGCCAGGAGCTATGACTCGACCCCTGCAACCACAACTAGGTGAGTACAACTAGGTGAGTACACACACACACACACACATATATATATATGCATATATATATGCATATATATATATATATATATATATATATATATATATATATATATATTAATATATATATAATATATATATATATATATATATATATATTATATATATATATATATATATATATTATATATATATATATATATATATATATATATATATTATTATCACTCTGGCCGATTCCCACCAAAGCAGGGTGGCCTGAAAAAGAAAAACTTTCACCATCATTCACTCCATCACTGTCTTGCCAGAAGGGTGCTTTACACTACAGTCTTTAAACTGCAACATTAACACCCCTCCTTCAGAGTGCAGGCACTGTACTTCCCATCTCCAGGACTCAAGTCCGGCCTGCCGGTTTCCCTGAACCCCTTCATAAATGTTACTTTGCTCACACTCCAACAGCACGTCAAGTATTAAAAACCATTTGTCCCCATTCACTCCTATCAAACACGCTCACGCATGCCTGCTGGAAGTCCAAGCCCCTCGCACACAAAACCTCCTTTACCCCCTCTCTCCAACCTTTCCTAGGCCGACCCCTACCCCGCCTTCCTTCCACTACAGACTGATACACTCTTGAAGTCATTCTGTTTCGCTCCATTCTCTCTACATGTCCAAACCACCTCAACAATCCTTCCTCAGCCCTCTGGACAACAGTTTTGGTAATCCCGCACCTCCTCCTAACTTCCAAACTACGAATTGTGATGAATGGTTTTGAAAACCGACAAGTTGAAGAATTGAGACACTTATGCAACACATGGGAATCTTTATTGAAGAAACGTTTCGCCACACAGTGGCTTCATCAGTCCAATACAAAGTAGAAATGGGTAAGGAGAGTAGAAGTATGAGGTAATCAGTCCCTCAACCTGGATTCGATGTGTTCAGTCCATCACTCTTGTAGTAAGTGCAGCATAGGGCCAGAGAGGTGGCTTATATACTGCGGTGAGATGAGTTGAAGCAGGAGGAGGCGGGATCTTAGTGGGACGTGCCACTAGTGGCACGTCCTCATACTTCTACTCTCCTTACCCATTTCTACTTTGTATTGGACTGATGAAGCCACTGTGTGGCGAAACGTTTCTTCAATAAAGATTCCCATGTGTTGCATAAGTGTCTCAATTCTTCAAACTACGAATTCTCTGCATTATATTCACACCACACATTGCCCTCAGACATGACATCTCCACTGCCTCCAGCCTTCTCCTCGCTGCAACATTCATCACCCATGCTTCACACCCATATAAGAGCGTTGGTAAAACTATACTCTCATACATTCCCCTCTTTGCCTCCAAGGACAAAGTTCTTTGTCTCCACAGACTCCTAAGTGCACCACTCACTCTTTTCCCCTCATCAATTCTATGATTCACCTCATCTTTCATAGACCCATCCGCTGACACGTCCACTCCCAAATATCTGAATACATTCACCTCCTCCATACTCTCTCCCTCCAATCTGATATCCAATCTTTCATCACCTAATCTTTTTGTTATCCTCATAACCTTATTCTTTCCTGTATTCACCTTTAATTTTCTTCTTTTGCACACCCTACCAAATTCATCCACCAATCTCTGCAACTTTCTCAGAATCTCCCAAGAGCACAGTGTCATCAGCAAAGAGCAGCTGTGACAACTCCCACTTTGAGTGTGATTCTTTATCTTTTAACTCCACGCCTCTTGCCAAGACCTCGCATTTACTTCTCTTACAACCCCATCTATAAATATATTAAACAACCACGGTGACATCACACATCCTTGTCTAAGGCCTACTTTGACTGGGAAATAATTTCCCTCTTTCCTACATACTCTAACTTGAGCCTCACTATCCTCGTAAAAACTCTTCACTGCTTTCAGTAACCTACCTCCTACACCATACACCTGCAACATCTGCCACATTGCCCCCCTATCCACCCTGTCATACGCCTTTTCCAAATCCATAAATGCCACAAAGACTCTTTAACCTTATCTAAATACTGTTCACTTATATGTTTCACTGTAAACACCTGGTCCACACACCCCTATCTTTCCTAAAGCCTCCTTGTTCATCTGCCATCCTATTCTCCGTCTTACTCTTAATTCTTTCAATAATAATAATAATATATATATAATAATAATTATATATATATATATATATATATATTATATATATATATATATTATATATATATATATATATATATATATATATATATATATATATATATATATATATATAATATATATATATATATATATATATAATATATATATAGTCGTGCCGAATATGTAAAAACTGGTCAATTAGCAAGAACTCATTTAATATTAAGTCCTTTCTAAAATTTTCTCTTATACGTTTAAAGATATATTTTTTTCATTAATGTTAATGTAAAAATTTATAATTTTGCACCAAACGAATCTTAGAAAACTTACCTAACCTTATTATAACAAGAACAATTTATTTTAGCCTAACCCAACTAAATATATTTTAGATTTGTTTACAATAATTTAATACTAAACAAACACAGTGAAGTATATTTTTTTCGTTAGGTTCAGAATGATTTTGGCGAAATTATTGCATACACAAATTTTCACTTGTCCTATATGGCAAGATGAGCGTTGCTATTTACGCCAAGATCGCAAGTTCTGCCTATTCGGCACGACTTATATAATATATATATATTATATATATATATATTATATATATATATATATATATATATATATATATATATATAATATATATATATATATATATATTATATATATATTTTATATATAAAATATATATATATATATATTTTATATATTATATATATATGCAAAACAACCACTCTGAAAGAATAAAGAAATTCCAAGCGCTTTCGTGACTACTCACATTATCAAGGAACTATGAAAGTAAAGCATCCAAGGAAGCTATATAAGGGGTCTGGCCAGCACCTCACTATCAGATCCCACAACGATTAAACACCTGACGCGCGCCGACCCAACTTGGATAGGTCCTTTGCACAACTCACCCCACAAACTATTCTACCCAAGAAAATTTAAAAATTATTTGTCCAGTGTATTATTAAATTTTCTTGGGTAGAATAGTTTGTGGGGTGAGTTGTGCAAAGGACCTATCCAAGTTGGGTCGGCGCGCGTCAGGTGTTTAACCGTTGTGGGATCTGATAGTGAGGTGCTGGCCAGACCCCTTATATAGCTTCCTTGGATGCTTTACTTTCATAGTTCCTTGATAATGTGAGTAGTCACGAAAGCGCTTGGAATTTCTCTATTCTTTCAGAGTGGTTGTTTTGCATATTCTGAAATCACCTGTTTACTGTGATCTTATTGCATATATATATATATATATATATATATATATATATATATATATATATATATATTATATATATATATATATATATATATTATATATATATATATGTATATATATATATATATATATATATATATATATATATATATATATATATATATATATATATATGTATATATATATATATATATATATATTATATATATATATATATATATTATATACATATATATATATTATATATATATATATAATATATATATATATATATATATATACATATATATATATATATATATATATATATATATATATATATATATATATATATATATATATATATATTATAATTTTATTACAATTATTACAACACCAAGAACAGTAATAATATTACACATGTGTCTATAATTTCACAAGAGCTCACATTACAAAGGTGTTTGGCCTGGCCGAGGGTGAAGCGATCAGGGAAGACCACCAGATATCTCGAGGTGGCACGACAGAGATCAGATGGTGACATCGTCTCCCAGGTGACCTCTCCATGGATCTTCCAAGACTCAGCTGAAGACGACGACCACGACAACTGGTTACCCGGCCGTTGTTCCTCGCACAACCACACCTGTGGAGTGCATAGGTGTTTCCTAGGTGAAATACGGAAATTATTCCTAGGTCAGTGGAAGTTATTTGCAAGAATATTATTCTCATGTAAATTATCCTAAGGTTGAATAAGCAGTAGAATGAACGGGGAGTCGAACGTGGTCCTGGCATGTAGCAGAACCAGCGGGTCGAATCCTTGTCCATTCTTCTGTTTATTAATTGATATTTGTCCATTACGGCTAATGTTGAGAGTATATCATCAGGTTACTGAGAATTATTCTCACTTGAGCTCTATTATTATTATTATTATTATTATTATTATCAAAACTACGCGCTAAACTCGGGCGACTGCGAGCTGTTAATTAAGGGGGGGGGAAGGGGTAATGAGAAGGATGGGTTTCTTACCTGACGTATGGTGTGGGGGTCGAGGACCCCATCCCAGATGCTGAGTTGAGAGAACATACCAGAGAAGCTCTGGTCTCTCTGGAAACCTCCTCCCAGAAAATCCTGCTCTTGCCCTGCCAATAACACACATTTTTATTTTCAATTATTTACTCATATATTTACGTGAAGCTTGAAAGCCACATGGATCATTCAGAAAAATTAGTGGCAGGTGCTCTATTTACGAGGGGATTTAATGTTTTTCCACTCCCACAGTGGATGTTTCCCACCAAGGTGGGGTGACCTTGAAAATACACTCTTAATCCAAAGAATTGGACCTGCCCTCTTCTTATCTTGGATCAAACTTTCTTCTAAGTAGGCAACACCGATGGTGAAAGTTTACAGCTGGTCAGAAGTTTCTTAAAGTTATCGCACGAAAATCAAAACGGGCGCCTTCCCATCCCAGTAATTCCACGAACCGTTTCTTATGTTACAGTCCGCCATGTTTGAAAATTTGAAGCTGGTCGAATTCCGGATTCTCGAAATACGAAAAACTTCAATATATGACCGGCTCTACAGCATGCGAATTTTCTATATTGATTCTGTTTTACTTTAAGAAATTGATGTTTCGTATATACGTCCTATGAGCTACCAGACAAGAACAGCTGAGGAATTAGAGTTAGCTTTTAAATTGGCACCTAAACGAGTCAGTAACAATGAAACGCTGTGTTAATGGATACAGACACACCTTCCTTTCTTGAATCTCTCAGTGATCGACACACATCTAGTTGTTTCGTTAGTCGAGAAGCGCTTTACTTATTTACTTACTTACTTTAGGGAACGAGAGACAATCATATTTGTTGAAAGAAAGGAGTGTGCAGCTGCAATAATTCTTAGGATCAAAAACTCGTCACTAGCATCAAGGCACCATAGTGAGATGATAATCCCGATTATCAAGGAAAGGACGCAAGGAATTAAATTCCCATTCAGCTTTAAACTTAATGGAAGAGTTAAGATTACTAAGCGTATCACGAAATGGTTGGAATATAATTCTTTGCTTCATTTCCTTGGTGTTCATGTCCACCGCTCATAATCCCGAGTACATAAGACTCCATAACTTATATGAGGATTAAAATAAACTTATCAGACTTCATAATTTTGTAATATTTTAAACTTAAGATTTAATTTAAGTCTGCCCGAAATGCCTAGCCATGCGAGGTGTTCTAGTGGTACACTCTGTAATTATTATTTTACTACAAGTATTGTTTACAATGTTGTCTAGACACGTGAAAGAACATAATGTTTATTTTGACTCTTCGGTTTAGGAAGACTTGTAAGTAAACACTAGGACATACTTTTCAGAAAACTTTTCGGTCCTGGGGCCTTGATCACCTCCAGCACAGAGGTTAGGAAGACAGTAGAAATGATCAAGGTCCCAGGACCGAAACGTTTTCTGATAAATATGTCCTAGTGTTTGCTCACATGTCTTTCTAAACCAATTTATTGGTAACTGTTACCAAAGTTTATACAATGACTCTCTTCACCTGACTGGACGGCCATCATGATTAGATCTGCGTCGGTCGCAAAGCGATCCTTGGAAGGTATTCCAGTATTCCAGTCCCCCGCTGTACAGTGAAGCAAAAGTTTCTAACGCAGTTAAATATCAACAATGAAGTTTTTTAAGCTCGTCAGACGAGGCATTCAAAAGTTATCACTTGGAAGTTAGATAAGATCAGATAAGACTTCGTTCGGATTTTTAACCCCGGAGGGTTAGCTACTCAGTCAGTGCATCATCGAGGACTGTCTAACTTATTTCCATTGGGGTCCTCAATCTTGTCCCCCAGGATGCGACCCACACCAGTCGACTAACACCCAGGTACCTATTTTCTGCTAGGTGAACAGGACAACAGGTGTAAGGAAACGCGTCGAAATGCTTCCACCCGCCGGGAATCGAACCCGGGCCCTCCCTGTGTGAAGCAAGAGCTCTAGTCACCAGGACACCCAGAAATACTTCCTAACATCCCTTGGACTCATCTGAGTCTTAACTTCCCACTGTGACTCCTTGTTTCTGTGCTCCATCTCTGAAACATCCTGTCTTTGTTCACTCTGTCTTTTCCTACGTCCCACTTTCCTTAATAAGAATGGCAAACTGGCGCTTGCACAGTCCAGAACCAACCCATTAAGATCCACGAGGTTCGGATTTGTTTTGGTCTGTGTAGGTGCTAATACGCTATTTTGATTAAAGAAACTGCGATATTAGTTTTCATAAATTTGAAAAGCCTCTTCTGTCAGGCTTCAAATCTTCAACGTTAATATTAAACTTCCTTAGAAAATTAGCCGCACTCCATACTATGCCTTTGCGTCCACTGAGGTATAGGGAATTCTTTTGTTTTAATTTGACTCTGTAAGAAACTTATAAGAACATAAGAAAGAAGGAACACTGCAGCAGGCCTACTGGCCCATGCGAGGCAGGTCCAATTCTCCTACCGGCTTAAGCCAGTGCTTTAACCTAGTCAGGTCAGGTCACGTTCACTTGCGTGCATTGGGGAACGGGAGGCAGTATGTTTATGGGATCCACAGGGTACCTCTCTCAGATCGTCTGGCGACCAAGACTAGGCTAGATTTTACATGGTGAGCTAGAAAGCCAGCAGAAGGCCTTAGTCATATGACCAGAGGCCCCTGGTTAATGGGTTATAATATGACCAAGACCCGTATCAGGAAACACTTGATCTGTTTCCTCTTGAGCGAGGAGTCATTATAATGAAACTGATGTTTGGGTCTTCTCGTTCACTTGTCGTCTCGCTGCCTCGTCCACCAGAGTTGTCCCGGCTGCCTGGTAATAATATAATAATAATAATGCACATGAAGAGTAAACTGACCTATAATGAAGGCTCCCCCAGCCTGGAGGGGAGAGGAATGGCCAAGGAAGGTGCCACTGGAGCCTAACTGGCCATCCAGGTACATGGCCCAAGAGGAGGTGTAATTTTGGTGGTGAAGCAGAAATGTTGCCCAGGAGCGCTAGAGGTGTGGCCCAGCTTCATCCACTGCCAGTTTCCTTGGATAGATACCGGTATCCCAGAGTTATGGTGGTCAGAAATATATATATATATATATATATATAAAATATATAATTTATATATTATTATATATATATATATATTATATATTATATATATATATATATATAATATATATATATATATATTATATATATGTGTGTGTGTGTGTGTGTATGCGTGTGTGTGATGTTGTGTGTGATGTGTGTGTGTGTGGGGTGTGTGTGTTGTGTGATGTGTGTGTGTGTGTGTGTGTGTGTCGTGTGTGTGTGTGTGTTTGGTGTGTGATGTCGGTGCCGAATATGACCAAAACTGGTTCAATTAGCTAGAACTCATTAAAATTAAGTCCTTTCTAAAATTTTATCTTATACTTTAAGATATATTCTTTTCATTAATGCTAATGTAAATATTTTTTAATTTTGCACCAAAAGAATCTTAGAAAAAACTTACCTTAACCCCTTATTATAACAAGCGCAATTATTTTAGCCTAACCCAACTAAATATATTTTAGATTTGTTTACAATAATTTAATACTAAGCAAACACAGTGAAATATATTTTTTTTCGTTAGGTTCGAATGGTTTTTTGGCGAAATTATTGCATACACAAATAGTCACTTGTCCATATGGCAAGATGGAGCGTTGCTATTTAGCCAAGATCGAAAGTTCTACCTATTCGGCACGACACACACACACAACCACACACATATATATATATATATATATATTTATATTATATATTTTAATATATATATATATAATATATATTATTATATATATATTATATATATATATATATATATGTGTGTGTGTCCTGTGTGTGAGTGTACTCACCTATTTGTGGTTGCAGGGGTCGAGTCTTAGCTCCTGGCCCGCCTCTTCACCGGTTGCTACTGGGCCCGCTCTCTCCCCGCTCCATGAGCTTTATCAACCTCGTCTTAAAACTGTGTAGGTTCCTGCCTCCACTACGTCATTTTCTAGGCTATTCCACTGCCTTACAACTCTATGATGAAGAAATACTTCCTAATATCTCTCTGACTCATTTGTGTCTTCAACTTCCAATTGTGGCCCTTTGTTTCTGTGTCCCCTCCCTGGAACATCCTGTCTTTGTCCACCTTGTCTATTCCAAACGCAGTATTTTATATGTCGTTATCATGTCTCCCCTGACCCTCCGTCCTCCAGTGTCGTCAGGCCGTTTTCCCCTTAATCTTTCTTCATAGGATATTCCCCTTAGTTTCTGGAACTTAACCTTGTGGCAACCTTTGTACTTTCCTTAGTTTTTTGACGTGCTTTATCAAGTGCGGGTTCCCAAAACAGGTGCTGCATACTCCAGTATGGGCCTGACATACACGGTGTACAGTGTCTTGAACGATTCCTTACTAAGGTATGGGAAATGCTGTTTTTCAGGTTTGCCAGGCCCCCATATGCTGCAGCAGTTATCTGATTGATGTGTGCTTTTCGGAGACATGCTCGGTGTTATAACTCACCCCAAGATCTTTCTCTTGAGTGAGGGTTTGCAGTCTTTGGCCACCTAGCCTATACTCTGTCTGTGGTCTTCTGTGCCCTTTCCCTATCTTCATGACTTTGCATTTGGCAGGATTAAATTCGAGAAGCCATTTGCTGGACCAGGTGTCCAGTCTGTCCAGGTCTCTTTGAATTTCCTGCCTGGTCCTCTTTCAGATTTAATTCTCCTCATTAACTTCACATCATCTGCAAACAGGGACACTTCTGAGTCTAACCTTTCCATCATGTCGTTCACATATACCAAAAATAGCACTGGTCCTAGGACCGACCCCTGTGGGACCCCGCTCGTCACAGGTGCCCACTGTGATACATCATTACGTACTATGACTCGTTGTTGCCTCCCTGTCAGGTATTCTCTGATCCATTGCAGTGCCCTTCCTGTTATATGCGCTTGATGTTCTAGCTTCTGCACTAATCTCTTGTGAGGAACTGTGTCAAAGGCCTTCTTGCAGTCCAAGAAGATGCAATCAACCCACCCCTCTCTCTCGTGTCTTACTTCTGTTATTTTATCATAAAACTCCAGAAGGTTTGTGACACAGGACTTGCCTTCCGTGAATCCGTGCTGGTTGGCATTTATACTCTTGTTCCGTTCCAGGTGCTCCACCACTCTCCTCCTGATAATTTTCTCCATAATTTTGCATACTATACACGTCAATGACACAGGTCTATAGTTTAGTGCCTCTTTTCTGTCTCCTTTTTTAAAAATGGGAACCACATTTGCCGTCTTCCATACCTCAGGTAGTTGCCCAGTTTCCAGGGATGTGTTGGAAGATTGTGGTAAGTGGCTGGAGTTTTGAGACTCTATGACCGCGGGTTCAATCCCGGCCGGGGGTATGGTTTAACATATCTTCTCCCTCTCTAAGGACCCACGGGGAGATGTTGTCCGGTCCCATTGCCTTTGAGGTATCGATGTCCCTTAGCAGTTTCTTCACCTCCTCCTCATCTGTATGTATGTCGTCCAACACTTGTTGGTGTATTCCTTGCTGGTGTCCCCATCTGGTCTGTCCCCCCAGAGTCCTTCCTGTCTCTACTGTAAATACTTCCTTAAATCTCGTGTTGAGCTCCTCACATACCTCTTGATCGTTTCTTGTGAGTTCTCCACCTTCTTTCCTCAGCCTTATCACCTGGTCCTTGACTGTTGTCTTCCTCCTAATGTGGCTATACAGCAGTTTCGGGTCAGATTTGACTTTCGATGCTATGTCGTTTTCATACTGTCGCTGGGCCTCCCTCCTTATCTGTGCATACTCGTTTCTGGCTCTTCTACTAATCTCCTTGTTTTCCTGGGTCCTATGCCTCCTGTACCTTTTCCATTCTCTGTTGCACTTAGTTTTTGCCTCCCTACACCTTCGGGTAAACCAAGGACTCGTTTTGGTCTTCCTATTATTTCTGTTTCCCTTGGGAACAAAACTTTCCTCTGCCTCCTTGCACTTTGTTGCCACATATTCCATCATCTCGTTTACTGATTTTCCTACCATTTCTCTGTCCCACTGAACCTCCTTCAGGAAGTTTCTCATACCTGTGTAGTCCCCCCTTTTATAGTTTGGCCTGTCCCCTTCAGTTCCTGTTACCTTCTCCATTTGTAACTCTACTATATAATCAAAACTCAGAACCACGTGATCGCTAGCTCCAAGGGGCCTCTCGTAAGTGATGTCCTCAATGTCTGAACTGCTCAGGGTGAACACAAGATCAAGTCTTGCTGGCTCATCCTCCCCTCTCTCTCTGGTTGTGTCCCTGACATGTTGATGCATGAGGTTTTCAAGTACCACATCCATCATCTTGGCTCTCCATGTGTGTGTGTGTGTGTGTGTGTAAAGGTAGAAAGTTGAAAGTGAACATAGATAAGAGTAAGGTGATGAGGGAATCAAATAATTTAGATAAAGAAAAATTGGATATCACATTGGAGGGAGGGAGTATGGAAGAAGTGAATGTTTTCAGATATTTGGGAGTTGATGTGTCAGCAGATGGGTTTATGAAGAATGAGGTAAACCATAGAATTGATGAAGGAAAAAAGGTGAGTGGTGCGTTGAGGTATATGTGGAGACAAAAAACGTTATCTATGGAGGCAAAGAAGGGAATGTATGAAAGTACAGTAGTACCAACACTCTTATGTGGGTGTGAAGCTTGGGTGGTAAATGCAGCAGCGAGGAGACGGTTGGAGGCAGTGGAGATGTCCTGTCTAAGGGCAATGTGTGGTGTAAATATTATGCAGAAAATTCGAAGTGTGGAAATTAGTAGGTGTGGAGTTAATAAAAGTATTAGTCAGAGGGCTGAAGAGGGGTTGTTAGTAAGTAAGTTTATTCAGGTATACACAAATACAGTTACATAGAATTATGATACTTAGCAGCATATGTGTAGAGAACCTAGGATAACCCAAAAAAGTCAGAGTGACTTATTTCCATTGGGTTGAGGTGGTTTGGTCATTTAGAGAGACTGGATCATAGTAGAATGACATGGAGAGTATATAAATCTGTAGGGGAAGGAAGGCGGGGTAGGGGTCGTCCTCGAAAAGGTTGGAGGGAGGGGCTAAAGGAGGTTTTGTGGGCGAGGGACTTGGACTTCCAGCAAGCGTGCGTGAGCGTGTTCGATAGGAATGAATGGAGACGAATGGTTTTTGGGACCTGATGAGTTGTTGGAGTGTGAGCAGGGTAATATTTAGTGAAGGGATTCAGGGAAACCGGTTATTTTAATATAACAGGACTTGAGTCCTGGAAATGGGAAGTGCAATGCCTGCACTTTAAAGGAGGGGTTCGGGATATTGGCAGTTAGGAGGGATATGTTGTGTATCTTTATACATACAGTATATGCTTCTAAACTGTTGTGTTCTGAGCACCTCTGCAAAAACAGTGATTATGTGTGAATGAGGTGAAAGTGTTGAATTTATTTACAATTTATTATATACAGTAAATCTGTAGGATGCTACACTTCTATCCATGTACACATACAAGGTCCAGTAAGACCTCCTCTCACCGATCCTTAATCCATTGTCCTCGTCGCTAGAACTGGCGTAGGATATAAGCGTCGACTCCTCCCTAAACCTTAAAAGCATGATCCTGTAGCAGATGGTGAAGGATCCTAGCCTAGGGAAGGGCTTGACCAGCCGGGCGTAACTCTCTGAAGAAGGAGTTCCAGACTTCTGCATCACCAGCACCCGCTCCTTACGGCTCTCTGCACAGAAATATGCTGTTAAACAGATAAGAATTCTTTTTGTTTCGTTTTGCCTTATGATATAACAAAAATTAAATATATTTGTTTACTCTTATGAAATGGACAGCCAGGAGTTATGTTGTCAGTAAGGCACCTCTTGCACTAGCGCGGCCCACCGTCACACCCGACGTACCTGTAATTAATAAGAGGTGAATCAGCCTGCCTGTACATGAACGTTGTTTTGGTTCTGTCTGCATGAAGACTATCAGCTACATCAGGGTCGTAATAAAGTTGGTAGAATTACCGACAATATGTAAAGTAAAAGGACACAAGTGCAACTAATGTGACATTTATTGTGGCAACGTTTCGCTCTCCAGGAGCTTTATCAAGCTCTTACAAACAATACATGGACACAGAGGGTATGTAAAGGCTCAGAGTGAGGTGAATACTAGTGAGGTACCATTTCGATGTTCACTAGTGGTAGTAGTAGTAGTAGTAGTAGTGGTAGTGACAAAAGTAATACAATATGGTAGAGCAATTAATTCGTACATGAGTAAAAGGATATAAAAGCTATTACTTGGGTAACATAAAAATAGGTTGGACAAATATAAACTGGAATGAGGCAGCTTGTTTCAGTGTTCACTCTCTGTGCTTTGTGTAGTATAACAGGAGAGACTATGTGATGGCAGGGTTTACTGTTTTCAGGAGGATTCTTGCTAAGACTTCGGAGATGGTGAAGCTGCCGTTGTTTTGTTTAATTGTATTCGAAACAGCGATCAGTGCTGATTCAAGGCACTTGCGTGTGCGGAAATTATTTTCTTTTATCACTAATTGGGCGTCTCTGAATTTCATAAGATGATTGGTGGAATTTCGGTGTTGTACACAGGCGTTGTTTAAGTTGTCGTTCCTACATGCGTATATGTGTTCATATGTGTACTTTCACAAGCTAACACCAGAGTCGCCATCGCTTCTACCACTTCAATAAAGGATCTAACCAGGACAAAACCCAAGCACCACGAACCAGTCAATGCAGGAGTTTACACTATACCCTGTGGAGGCTGTGACAAGATCTACGTAGGTGAAACAGCAAGAAACCTCGACACCCGCCTCAATGAACACATATACGCATGTAGGAACGACAACTTAAACAACGCCTGTGTACAACACCGAAATTCCACCAATCATCTTATGAAATTTAGAGACGCCCAATTAGTGATAAAAGAAAATAATTTCCGCACACGCAAGTGCCTTGAATCAGCACTGATCGCTGTTTCGAATACAATTAAACAAAACAACGGCAGCTTCACCATCTCCGAAGTCTTAGCAAGAATCCTCCTGAAAACAGTAAACCCTGCCATCACATAGTCTCTCCTGTTATACTACACAAAGCACAGAGAGTGAACACTGAAACAAGCTGCCTCATTCCAGTTTATATTTGTCCATCCTATTTTTATGTTACCCAAGTAATAGCTTTTATATCCTTTTACTCATGTACGAATTAATTGCTCTACCATATTGTATTACTTTTGTCACTACCACTACTACTACTACTACTACTACTACCACTAGTGAACATCGAAATGGTACCTCACTAGTATTCACCTCACTCTGAGCCTTTACATACCCTCTGTGTCCATGTATTGTTTGTAATAGCTTGATAAAGCTCCTGGAGAGCGAAACGTTGCCACAATAAATGTCACATTAGTTGCACTTGTGTCCTTTTACTTTACATCAGGGTCATTAAGGCTTTACGTAACCTGTACACCACCAATGATACTTTAATCCCTGTGATATATTACCAATTGTATATACAATTTTCGGTGTATATACAATTGGTTGTAGATATAGTGTTGTGGAAAATTGCATTTACTTGGATGTATAATTATATACATAACAGTAAATGAACAATGATAACTACTATTTATCAGTTAGACAAGTAGGAATTTGGGACACTTAGGTCGCAAAAAATGTCCCCCTTCGATACCTACCACTGTCATATCCACAAGTTGCTCTGGACCTATTAATTAAATGAAATATACATACACCAGGAATACTGGTAAATATATAAATTTGTGGACTGTATATTAAAAAATGATATATAAATTCACATATACATAACAGAAGGAAAATATATCTTAATATCACTCACCAATTTGACTGGATATTAAGTTGTATCATACTCAGAAAAACCTCACTAACTAAATTTATGAAAACACTGGCCAGAATTATACACAAATCTAGAGAGCTTATCTGAGGTTCCTGGAGCTGTCTTGTCCAGTCGTCTGATATCTCAAGTTATGCAGGAATGCACATCCACCAATTTCGCCTCCTATTTGAGAGGTGTCAGCCCAATTTTAACCTCTAGAGCACGAAAAATTCTTCCCATTCACTCTAACGTTCTGTTCAATTCAAAACCAAGATGGCGAGTCTCCTGCGCAGGCGCAGCTTCCCGTTTTCGATTACATAAATTTTAAATACAATATGGCCATCTATTTACATTTAATAACTACTGTATTTCTGGAAAATATATACAGTATTTTCCAAAAGTGTGGCCCTGCCACTTTTGGTTTTGTTCTAGTAGTGGTGTATGTTGGTCTAGTTTCATTACGGTTCCATCTCCTAACAAGGAACTCAAGCTTAGAAGATCTAAATTATGAATATATTTTTGAAAGGCTGTGGATTTAGAATGAAGCTTAATTTTAGTTAATTTGCAAAGTTTTACTATTATACGGTAAATATTTATCAGTGATTGTTAGTAAGTCATAATACAGTACAAACAACCCTATTATTTTTACTACTACTCCTCTTACATACTACTACTATTACTACCTCAACTACTACAGCAACTGTACCACTGCTGCTACTACTGCTATTATACCTACTGGCGCGACTAGTTCTGCTACTACAAGACCTGCTGCCGCTGCTACTACTATTACAATTACAACTACTACCTGTGTGTTGGCACAGGTAGAGAACTAGGCAAAATGTAAACAGTAGCCTCCACCACCAGGGGTCGTCGCTGAAGTGTTCACGGAGGTCTCTTGTTGTCATGGTACTGATGGACGTTTTGGTGGTGGTGGTGTTGATGGTGGACGTAGTGGTGGTGTTATAGGCGCTGCTGGCCTTCTGGACGTCCTCTTGCCGTGTTGTCGAAGAAAGTGGTGGTGGTGATGATGTCAAGGATTCCCTGCCCTTGTTTCACCTGTGTCATCACGAGTAGTGTGCTAGGTGCCGAGGCTCATACACAGCCTCCCTGGCTGTGGTTGTGTTGCTGCCCTGCTGACACACAACACCGGTATACTCTAGCTCTAGATGTGTTTACGTAACTTGTTGCTTCTGTTGAGGGATAATAAGAGAGAATATTGAAAATCTTTCTTGTTTAAACCTTCAGCTAACTCGACATCAGCAAATATATTTTTATTTGCAGAAGTAGATTTAGATATCTTTTCATCTCTTTCAATGAAATATTGGTATATGGTGACTCAACATCAGAACTTGTCTAAAAACAAGAGTACGTAAACAAAAGTTAATATTGTATTTGACACATTAATAAAAAAATTGCAACAATATACTTCTTAACAGTTAAAACCTACAGAAGAGGAATTAAAAACTTGGGTAAACTGGAGAAATTAGTATATACTATATCATAGACAGTACTAGGCTTTAAAATGAGCTAAATTTGGATAGCAAATGCTGTCTTAAGCACTGCACAAATATGCTGTATGTTGCAAGGATAAAGTATTGTCCCCCATCTTGTTCGCACCATAAACGACGTAGCGAGGGTTAAAATAAAGACGTGAAAGTTCGTTGATGACAGAAGAAATGAGGCAGAGGAGTGAATTCAGAGGAGGACACCAAACAGCTTGAGAATGATTGACCTAACTAATGTTATGGCCAGAAAAGTGGGAGAGCAGGATCACGGTGGTCAGATGTTAAGTTCTAAAGTTGGAGGAAAGAAAAACAACTGAGTCAGTTATAGACTGAATAATACAGACGCATAATCAAAGTGAATGCGCGAAAGAATTTGGAGATGTGTTTGGGAGTGAAGAACAGATACAAAACTGCACAACCAATTTTTTTGAGACTGTTTTGCCTTTTATGGAAATTTATCATGATTTGATGAAGCTCTACACTGTAAGAAACTGTTGCTGTGGTCCAGGTACTCTGGACCAGCTGCTGTGGTCCAGGTACTCTGGACCAGCTGCTGTGGTCCAGGTACTCTGGACCAGCTGCTGTGGTCCAGGTACTCTGGACCAGCTGCTGTGGTCCAGGTACTCTGGATGAGCTGCTGTGGTTCAGGTACTCTGGACCAGCTGCTGTGGTTCAGGTACTCTGGACCAGCTGCTGTGATCCAGGTACTCTGGACCAGCTGCTGTGGTCCAGGTACTCTGGACCAGCTGCTGTGGTCCAGGTATTCTGGACCAGCTGCCGTGGTTCAGGTACTCTGGACCAGCTGCTGTGGTCCAGTTACTCTGGACCAGCTGCCGTGGTCCTCTAGTCTTACGTTCCAGCCGTGAATTCCTGGTTGGTTCGTTCACTAAAATTTAGAAGTGGGACGTCGCAACATTTTGAAACGTCAGTTATCCTTCTTAAGTAAACAGAATGTGTGACTTTTGTTCTCCACGAAGCGCTAAACCTGCGAGGAATGGTGCAGGGAGTGGCGGAGGCTCGATCCTCCGTCCGCCGAGGATATGTCAGCTTATCTACGGTATCAGGACACTTCATTTCAGTGAGGTATATATTATTAACATATCCGAAAGAAGGGGGATATATTCTATCATAGACTTCTATCATAGACTTCCATCGCTAACTTCTATCATAGACTTCCATCGCTAACTTCTATCATAAACTTCCATCACAAACCTCTAACCTAGATTCAACCATTTTATCTCTGTCATGTAATTTGTGTGAGGGACTGCCTCAGTACCGCCCCAGACTACATTGTAATTCCTGCTTAGTAACCCAGTGATAAATTGACTCTTTATTTTTTGATATCTCTCAGTTCTCATGTGATCAATCATCCTGGCTACTGTCCTTATTTATCACTTGGTTGGCTTATCACGTTTAAAATCTATTGACTACACGAGATTCTTTCTCTAAGGCTGCAATGTCTCTAAGGCTGCAATGTCACTAAGGCTGCAATGTCTCTAAGGCTGTAATGTCTCTAAGGCTGTAATGTCTCTAAGGCTGCAATGTCACTAAGGCTGCAATGTCACTAAGGCTGCAATGTCTCTAAGGCTGTAATGTCTCTAAGGCTGTAATGTCTCTAAGGCTGCAATGTCTCTAAGGCTGCAATGTCTCTAAGGCTGCAATGTCTCTAAGGCTGCAATGTCTCTAAGGCTGCAATGTCTCTAAGGCTGCAATGTCTCTAAGGCTGCAATGTCTCTAAGGCTGCAATGTCTCTAAGGCTGCAATGTCTCTAAGGCTGCAATGTCTCTAAGGCTGCAATGTCTCTAAGGCTGCAATGTCTCTAAGGCTGCAATGTCTCTAAGGCTGCAATGTCTCTAAGGCTGCAATGTCTCTAAGGCTGCATGTCACCTGTACACCACCAATCAAGGACACAATAATTCTAGAACAGTTTATAATACATTATCAGTGTACATATTCTGAGAAATACACACAGCTCGGTGTATATACACTTGGAGATATACACCTCACGGTTTATATACAGTGAAAGATATATACCTCTTGGTAAATATGCACTGAGAGATATACACCTCGGGATATATGCGAGTTTAAACTGTTTCATGCAGCAAGGTGAACAGTGAGGTTGTAGAACTTTCTGGTTAATATTGTTTATCACTGTTTAAAAAGTGACGAATTTAATGTATTGTTCGTTGTTTAAACTGTGATGAGTTTTCTTTTAAGAAGAAGAAATGTGTCCTTTTGCTATTATAATAATAATAATTGTGAATTATTATTATGTAAGCAAATTACCTGCAGGAGGCTTACATGGCATTACCTGAATTATTCCCTGCAAGTAGTTTAGGTGAGGTAAGTGGGACTTAAGTCACAGTAGGTCGCCGAACTGTAACTCCATCGATGCCCACTCCCTACCACTCTCACAAAAAGCTGGACCTGACATTAAATTAATAACAATATTAAAACCAGCTACTCTGATAAATTAAAGTTGTTGGCTGCATATGATTAGGCTTGCTGGGTACACATAAAAAATTCGTATTACCACTTACCACTTAATTACTGTAGATGGATCACACCACAACACCTGCCTGGCACCTAGACCCTACACTGTCCAGCTAGAGATCTAAATGCAAAGACTAATGATGCAGTTCCCTGTGAGTGATGTTCATATCCCTTATCTTCCGCCATCCACACGTAATTCTTGAGGGCCCGCAAAGTTCCTGTCCCAATTCTTAAGCAGGGAAAATTAACCCAGGTTCCTAATTACAAATTCAGGCCGAAACCTCTCAATTTGGCTCGGAAGACGCCAGATTATTAGCAGACTTTCCGCGACAACCAGTGTTCACAAATTGCAAATGGCGTCCTCTATTTTTCTGTCCTTGTTGCCAAATTGCAAGGGTTTTCCACACAATTTTTCCGAATTCTTCAGCAGGAACGTGTCAGCAATTTCTAAATTACGGATTGAGGCCGATATACACTAAATGACTTTCGAGAACGTCTAACTACATTGCACAATTTAGTCAAGTGTTCACACATTAAATTCAACATGGCGTCTTCTCCCCGGCATCACTTCCCCGGCTCTTCTCCATGCCCCCTCACTCGAAATTTCTCGAAGGGTCCAAATAGCATCACATTTTAATACCCAATGATTATATTATTCATTTATATGCTCTACATTTAGTAAATTATGTAAAAAATTTCCATAGTAATAATGATAATAATAATAATAATCAACATCTTAAACAGGCCCAGGAACTTGAACTCAACCAGGTTGAACCTTATGAATATGAGACCAATCAGACGAAGCAAGGTTGGCCATGACTCGAGGCAAGGTCACAAGACATTAATAAACAACGCAGCCACAGGACTCGACTCATGGCATTGCTGTTTTAAAATTAGCACGTTAAAGCTCTGAACACTGTGCTTTGCCGGCTTTAAGGAATTCATCCAACAAGGTTTATTTCTGTATACTAGGGAGGTTAGCATGGGACTACACTGTGACCACAGATGAAGGTTATACGAGAATAGTATTTTATGAGACTAGGCGGCTAAAGCTCTCGCTTCACACACGGAGGACCCGAGTTCGATTCCCGGCGGGATGGAAACATTTCGACGTGTTTCCTTACACCTGTTGTCATGTTCACCTAGCAGCAAGTAAGTACCTGGATGTTAGTCGACTGGTGTGGGTCGCATCCTGGGGGACAAGATTGAGGACCCCAGTGGAAATAAGACAGACATTCCTCGATGACACACTGACTTTCTTGGGTTATCCTAGATGGCTAACCCTCCGGGGTTAAAAATCCGAAGAAAATCTTATCCTATCTTAGGATTTTATGAGACTAGGATTGCTATGGCCGTAGAGTTTCGTACTAATATTCAGTACCTCAGAGAGAAATCCATTTTTTTCCTCGTAACGTTTTTATTTACCACTCCGAGGCTGAGTCGTCACACCTGCACCTAGAGAACGACCTTTGTATGTACTGTAGTATATTGAGATGAGTGAAGGAAACGTAGTTTATGTTGCTGCCATAACACGGAAATCAATAAACCAGTTAACTGATCCAGTTAACTGATCCAGTTAACTGATCCAGTTAACTGATCCAGTTAACTGATCCAGTTAAATGATCTTCAGGAAATTCATGGCATATTTTTCCCTCTTATTCAAGACGTGCTGGAGCACAGACTTTATAAAATGTATAATTAAAAAAATTGAAACAAACATAATTTTTGAAATCGTAGTGGAATGCGAATGTGTGGAATGTAAATAGTGGAATTAGTGCGTAGAATTGAGGGGGTATGATAAATTAGACACAAGTGCATCACTTGGGTGTCTTTATCGAGGAAACGTTTCGCCACACAGTGGCTTCATCAGTCTATACAAAGGAGAATGGTGAATAATAGAAGGAGTTTGGGGCAATCAGTCCCTCAGCCATGAGTCGATGTAATCAATCTATCAGTCAAGTGTGATACCACCTACGACAGCTTCACCTCACCTGCCTACACTATGTAAGTCACTTCTTCGCATATATGCCGTATTATTTTCAAGACTGATGGACTGACTACATCGAC